TTATTACGGCCGTCGCGGGTAACTCGGACGGCGACGAAACCGCTATATCGCGACCGAAATCGCGATCGCAAACCGTTTTTTAAAACCCTGGCGTTGACATTCAACATGTCGTCTTTGCAGTAGCTAATTTCTTCTTGGTGACATGATCAAAGATTGAAAAAAATGAAGATAAACTTAGGGTTATTCCTAATTATGCTTCTAATAATACTTAAGTCCAAGATCCTCATAGGTAACAAGAACATATATCATAACTCTTTTTTAGAGTTATTAGTTGTATCCTGATGCGTCTTCTTAACAAGTATTAGTATTAGATTATGTAACAATGTCCCAATATTAATAATATAATTTATGAATATGTAGGAGCGCATAGATATTTTTGAGAGAATATACCTCTAGCCTGTACATATACTTGGTATAATTGTGATTATAGCAAATGTGGAAAAGATCACCTACCTTTGGTCGCCATTGGAAGATGTTTGGGAACATCCATACCAGATAAAATACCGTAATAATGGCCTGTCATACACTTTAGGAACCCATAGACATACATAGAGTTCTAAAAATATTGTATGACAAAATAAGATCCTCAACAAAGAAGTTGATACATGTGCTTGTACCCTAATGCCACTAGGAATTTCTACAACAATAGAACAAATATAAATTGTTTGCTGCATCACCCTCCACGTTGGGTCATGAGAATCCATGGTCTAAGCTATCCTTGAACATAATACATCATTGTTTACGAGACATTGGAAACTATAGGATAAGAAAATTCTGATGTAGCACGCAACTAATCTCCTTCTTAGAACCACGGAATTGTAAGGCAGTTGCGCCTCGAGCCCCGTGAGAGACACAAGCCTCCACCGAGATATGAAACCTCTTACAAGAACAAGAACCAGTCGCTATAGACAGTGTAACACTATGTCGATCCATGAAACAAGAATGAATTTGATCACTTTGAAGTTGTGACAAAACATGTGGCCAGAGTAAGACCATGTACCAAAACCTTGCATCGAACTACCATAAAGATAGTATCGATGGCCAGAGAATTCCACATCTAATCCAGACAGATTAAGATGGGAATCCGAATAGGAAAAATAGAGTTGAAACTGTGAAGCATTATGTGTAATTCTATAATCAACGCAACCAGACTTATGTAACCAATAAAAATAAGAAATCCAACAAAGAAATATAAAATATGAAACTCACCATGACCAAGAAGCAAAACCTTGCATCGAATCATTTAAAAAATGATATCGATGGCCAAAGAATTTCTTATCCAAAAGATAGAAGTCTGTAATCGTATGCGGATATTACAATCACTAATTCGAACAAAAATTCGCCCACATTGCCAAGAAACCATATGTATAACAGGAGTACTAAGATAATGCATAGCCAGACACAATTCATGGTTTGACCATTGATGGTTCATAATGTTTTGATAAGGCAAACGAAAAAGACTGATTTTGGAAGGACAACATATATTTGAAAAGCCATAAACATTAAGCTGCTAAAGTATCCAGTACGAAGAACCACTCAGAATCAAATTATCAACATTGAAGGAATCATCAAAACATGTCTGATCATGATGTATGAAAGTGTTCATTTGAACAACATACCCAGATTGTGCCCATTATATTTGGATACCGGTTATGATTGATCTTGAGCGTTCATTCCGAATGCAAGCGACACCCGTCCCTAATGCATCCCACATCGGACTCTCCAATGGTTCCAATCTGAAATAGACTAGACGATTATTGATGAGCACTCGTATAATCTTCAATTCTTATTGTCGAGCAATATGTTTGTTCCTCAAATCAACAAAATTATTGTGTAAAAACCCTAATAAACAATGGTATGCGCATTTCATGTAAACCAATAAATGACAAAGAACTAAATTAAAATATATCACCCAAATATATGTATTACTGTTGGATCGAAAGGGAAGCAGCACAGGATTGTAAACCCATTTTCGCTGCGGAAGAGAGGTCAGATCATTCACACACAAAGGCCAAACCATTCGTTTATCCAAGAGATTGAAAATGACTGTGCACACATGATATTGGAACCCTCGAAATTCCATAATAAAACGAAACCAATGAAAATATATGAGAACTTGCATCAATCTACCACGACCGTGGTTTTGATGGCCATAGAAATAGGCCTTCATGCCCAAGAAGAATAAGAGAATGGCACAAGAAGGAGATTCCAAAGAGAGAGGGAGAAGAGAAAATTCAGAAAAAATTCAGAGAGAATTTTCTCCATTGATTTTTCCACTCAAACATTGTAACTTAATTTTAGAAAAGATGATGACCAATTTAAGGTCGGCTCCCACCTAACTATTCATATGTTCCAAACCCGTCCTTATCTGTTAAAAAATTGGCAAACATCTGAACTGGACGTTAACATGCTGACTAAGATGTGATAAAATTTAATCTCATAATCGTTTGAATTGTATTTTATGGATTGACTGTCCATTTACATTTTACAGTCGAGTTAGTACTTAAAATATTATACTGTTGAGTCAATGCTTGAAAGTAACAATGGTGCAAGTGGACATCATTAAAAATAATTTTATCATATCCTAGTTAGTAGGTTAACGTCCAGCTCAGACAGTCGTCAAATTTTTAACAGAAAAAGAAGAATTTGAAACATATGAATAGTAGAGTGAAAATTTTGTAACTTTTAATAGTTGGGAGATTCAACAAAATATCGCCATGTAATTAGGGGTCATTTTGTAAATTTTAATAATTGAAAGACCCAACAAAGCAACACTCTATAGTTAGAAGATCATTTATGTACTTTACCCTAAGATTATTCGAGATTAATGTTGACTAAGATTTCTAAATTGAACTCGACATGTATAGTTATTAAGATTTATTTATATTTTTTAATGATTTTTTTATAATTTCTTAGAAGTTGATTTCGATGCTTGGAGTAAATAATTAGGTAAAATACACCAACGGTCCCCCGATTATAGGTTTTACTTTATTGAGTTTCTTGACTATTTAAAGTTATGCAATGGTTTCTTGACTATCCCAACTACGAAAAAGTTACATAATGGTTACCCAATTATTCATATATTCCAAACTTGTCCTTTTCTATTAAGAAATTAATAGCAGTCTAAGCTGGACGTTATCCTACTGATTGTGATATAATAAAATTTGATCCCAAAATATCAAACAATTATCATATCTCAGTAACATATTAATGTTCATCTCAGACTATCATCATTTTTTAACGAAAAATGATGACTTTAGAACATATGAATAGTCAGTGACTATTTTGTAACTTTTAATAGTCGAAGGACTCAACAAAGCAATGCTCTATGATAGTAGGACCATTTTATAATTTCTAATAATTGAAAAACTCAGCAAAGCAATACGCTATAGCCAAGAGACTATTTGTGTATTGTATTCTAAATTATTTGGGCATTTAAAGTGATAGTTTAATCCTTTGGACACCCCTCTAATCTTGAGGGATTCAGAATCGAATTTAAAATTTTCCCAAAAATTCAAAATTGAATTTTGTTCGGGTTTCTTGAAGGCTTAATTATATGCCCAAACTATATTGCTTTTCTCAAATAGGTGGTCAAACTTTTTTAATCATCTAAGTGCCCAACGTTACAAATATTACTACTTTAGGTGTCTGGGCTGTAATTGTCATTAATTTTCTACGTTAAGTGACACATGTCACGTTCTGGTAGTTTTCAATTTTTTAAAAAAATTAAAAATTATTATATTTATAAAAAAAACCAAATTTCTCTTAAATTACAAAAATCCTAGATCCCTAACCCTAACCCACCGATGTTACCCTTACTAGCCACGGCCATCGCCGTCAACATAGTCTCAACCATCTTCCTAATCATATGTTTTCATAGTTGTCGCCTATTTCCCGTCGGGATCGCACGGGGTCTCGATTTTCAACATAGGATTCATGGGGTACAAACGTCGATTGACCATCGATTGGTCACGATTTCATAGGGTTATTGATTGTCGGGGAAAGTGAGGTTGGGTGGAGCTTCGTTGGATGGTAAAGGGTAAGAATAAGCATGGGTTTAAGGGTTGAAATGAGGGTTTTTAAAGTTTTGGGACTATTTAAAAAACTTTGTGTGTTTTTTAAAATATATAATTTTGAATTTTAATTTTAAATAAAATTTTTAAAATTATCAGAACCTTACATATGTTCTTTAACGATAGATTTAACGGTTGTTATAGCCTGAACACCTAAATTGATAACGTTTGTAACCTAGACACCTAAATAGTTAAAAAAAATTGACCACCTATTTAAAAAAATTATATAATTTGAGCACTTATTTTATAATTAAGCCTTTCTTTAACATTGTTAATTGTCGTGTCGGTCGTAGCCGTCATTCTTAGCAATTATACAGCCACGTGGCAAGGTGTTATTGGAGTGGCGGGTAAGCTTCTTGATCACTTGACAAGGGAACTGAAACGCCAAACGAAACAGTTTCACAGGCACAATGGATAACGCTGGGGGTCCCACAAAGGATAACGTGTTAGTTTCACGTCAGCATAAAGTTCACGCCCTCGTTGCACACGTAATCCAAACAGGGTACAAGGCAGGTAAGATTAATGGAAAGAAGAAAAAAAGCGAAAAAGCAAATCAAAACAGAAAGGAATGTGAAGGTAAACGATAACTCAATCAAAAGCTAACAACTTTTCTTTTAATCTTGCTTTGATTTTTCTCGGAAAAATTTTTAGTTTCCTTCTATATTTATTTTTTCTCGAGAAACCAGCAAAAGGTACGTGTGTGTCGTTCATTTCGATTTGTTAAGTTTTCGATCTTTGTATCTTAAATCTCTTTTGTTTAACGATGGATCAGCTGAATATATATATAAGTTAAATTTGATGTTTATTCATAATTCGATTGTTTTTATTTTTTTCTTTTTTAATTTTGAAAGTTGTTTGTGGAGAATTCTTAAGACCGGAAAAGAAATTGCATGAGAAAGAATAATTCTAATTAGTTTCTGCTCAGTTAGTGATTTTATTTATTTATTTTTCGCTTTGCAGTTAGAACTGATAGAGATCAAGGGTACTTTCTTCTCTTTTCTCAAGAAAATCTAATTTTTTGTATATTAAGGTGCCTTTGCTTTCTAAATCAGATTTTCAAACATTTGTGTGTGTCGAACATGAATATGCGTATATATTCGTATTTGTTAAGATTTTGTATATCTAGAGAATTTTTGAAGGATCATATTCTAATACCGATAACCTGAGAACATGAAGAGTTCCACTACCATATGTAGTTTTGATTTCTCTGTAACTGTCATGAACTTTTGTAGATCTTGGAAGGTGGAGCTGGCGATTTCTTCATCAAAAGAACATCATCTTTTTGTTCCATTATCAAGCTTATGAATTTGAAGTGATCATTTGAATACACATACATACCAGAAGACATTTTTTTAATATTTTGGAGCTCTGACATGGAGAAAGTCTGTGAATTCTGTACAACTTCAAGACCAGTTGTTTATTGCAAATCTGATGCAGCCCATCTGTGCCTTTCCTGTGATGCAAAGGTCCACTCAGCCAACGCACTTTCGAACCGACACCTTCGTACCCTCCTATGTGACTCGTGCGGACTCTTCCCATCACATGTTTGTTGTTTTGATCACCGGATGTTCTTGTGCCCTGGTTGTGATCAAAGCGTCCATGATGCTTCTTCCCAGAACCACCAGAGGCGTGCAATTAGTAACTATTTGGGGTGCCCTTCTGCCAAGGATTTTGCAGCATTGTGGGGTTTTGAAATTAATGAATCAGATAACAATCCTCTTCAAGATCAATCTTTATCCAATTCGTGCATTTCTATGAATGCCAATGTGGTTGAACCGAGGAATTTAAGACAGTCTTGTTCGCGAATTGGTGTCTCTTTGAGTAAATCGGGTGTGTCTTCTCTCGCTGCTAGAGGACACAATTCCGGGTCAAACAGTCAACAAGCCAAGGTTAATTGACATGATTTATTTGAAAGAAGATCTTAGAGATTTGTCAATATTTTTCTTCAACTGTTATACTTTTCCTGTAAGTAGATCCTCCCAATCTTCGCAATATGCAGCAAACATATATCACCTGTGGTTAGCTATTGTGATCTATGTTGCTTTGAATCTTCGTTTTTCTTGAAGCACTTATGTTCGGAATATATTCAAACTTGAGCATTTTTGTATGACCTCTAGGGAACTCCGAAGAAAAAAAAATTGAGCATACACATGTCGAGCACATATTTGGACATGGGTATTTTATGAGATCAGTATTCTTTTTATACTTTGTTCTTGTTATTGCAGGTTCTTAACAAAGTTCAGCTGGTAAAGAATACTTCACTGATTCTGCAACAGATTCTTGACCTGAAAAGCCTTCAGCTCACTGAGGGAGACAGTCATTTTCCTTTTAATGGTGGCCTAGAACGAGCTGCCACATCTTCAATATGCACCTCTTCAAAAAATGTTGATAGTAATCTAGTCCATGATGTTGGTATCAATATCCATCGAAGTAACAATCCGCTTGAGGAGCTGAATATGGATCTGGACAACCTATTGCCATCTTCAACTTCCGGGATGCCTTTCTACGGGGAATCTATTTGGCTATGCAAAAGTCCAATCCCTAATAGTCAGGTGCGTTACACTGATCACCAAGTTACCAAAATTGATCGTGTGCATAATTGATCTTCATTTTTTTCTGAAGTAACAGTATTCCAATATATGTGTTTACAATGGGGTATGATGTTTGTTAAGTGTGTTTTCTAATTGAATTCTGCAGTTATGGTCACAGAATATGCAAGATCTTGGAATTTGTGAAGACACGTTTTGCCAAGATGACTTGAACATGCCTGATATTGATTTATCTTTCCGCAACTTTGAAGACCTGTTTGGTGTTGATCAGGGCCCAATGGGGGGACCACTTGCTAATAAAGATGTTCCGAGTTCATCCATAGAGAAGGAGATGACCAACAACAACTCGGATAATGTTAATGCTATTTCAATGGAGGTCAGGATCATGTCACTCATTTTTTTCTTTTTATCTTATGACTTATACAGATATTTGGCTAGTACTTGTATTTGATGCATATTACGATATTTGTCCGATGCATATAAAATTTGAACCTTAAAGAACCCTTTTGAACCAAATTGTTCATCACTGATTTTATATTTGGGAGAAAAAAAGATTTTGAAAAAAAAAATGATATCCGAGTAATATAGCCTTGAACCTTCTATTTGTGTGTTCCTTTATTGCCAAGACAGCGGACTCATTTGTTTTCACTATTCAGTCTGCTAACATAGAAATGGAGTTCTGACCCTTTATTTTTTTTTTAAAAGAATACTTATTTTCCAATATTCGTGTCCATTATGAATATGAAGATATGGTCTCCAAGGATATTTCAAATACAGAAATTTGAACGCACTCACGTTCGTGTCTGGGTAACAAAGGAAATTAATATGGATCCTTTCAGCTAACCACATTTCATTCATAACTTCCAGGGAATCAGCGCTTCTGCTTGCACAATTCAACCATCTTATTCAGCAATGTTGTCTGTTTCAAGGTTCAGTGCTGATACTAGTGCTCCCGACTGTCTTGATAATGAAGTTTCACCTCTCGTAGATGGGGAAGCTTCATGCATTTCACCGGACTTAGATGGCTTTCATTCAGAAGCCAGATAAGATGCCATGATGAGGTACAAAGAGAAGAAGAAAGCCCGACTGTGAGTATCAATTTTCTCTTTTCTTGCAGATTGTCTATGTTATTTGGATTTAGGTGTATATAAGTATGCGCTTGGAGTATGTCCTAGAGATACGAACATAAAGGATCATATCCGATTCAAAATACCTGTGTTCATCACCCATATTCGATATTTTGGACATGCGAGTAGAGATACGATCTTCAAAAAGACCTTTCAAATACATGAACTTTAAAAATTTGAGAAGAACCATGTCAAACACATCCATATCTGACAATTGTATTCAAGTCCAAGTAACATGATATTCGGCAATGGAGGCTTCCAAGTCAGTGGAAACAAATATACCAGTGTGTAACTTTGCTCCCAATTTCCACTGAAAGTTCACAGTTGTAAATTTATAACTCGTGCCTTGTACCTAATTTTTGCTCAAACTTTAAGTTCTGTGCATAAAGTTAGTACCATTGCAATTTGCAAACAAGCATGTTTATAGAGTTTTCTTGCGCAATTACCTAGTTTTGAGAATAGTAACGCAGGTAAAACCAATGTTACTCGGATTCTATGTTACATGAATTCAGGTATGTCTCATGTATATATTCAACATGGGTGTATTTAATATTTTCTCCATACTAGATGTCTGGGTATAGATGGAACATGAGCATTTAAACGAAAAGATTTGGAGCAACATAACCTAAAGTACTTGTGTTTGATACATGTGTCCTACATACATTCGAGTCGAGTATATGAAGACAAGAGTATGAATCCTTCATGCATGTGAAAAAATTCAGGAAAAAAAAGAAGTTAAACATACATATGTTGAACATATAACTGTCATTCCTCTTCCCAAGAGGAGGCAGCTCTCTGTTGTATTATTGTTTATTATATATAGTCTTTGAATGTTGCTCAGGCATGACAGACAAATTAACTGTGCATCCCGGAAAGCTAAAGCTGATGCAGAGAAGAGAGTAAAAGGGCGAATTCTAAAGACGGAGGACTATGATTCTGATCATCCAAATGTGGAAAAGTGCTATTAATTTCCTCTCTCTGTGTGTGTGTATATATATATATATATATATATATATATATATATATATATTGTACATATATTATGGAATATCATTTCCAGGTTCTGTAAGTACCACCTGTTACTCAATCTTCTATTCAAAACTCAACCAATTCTTCCACTTCCATCTGTTTAAAATTTTTTGTTAATCATCGCAGAAAGAAAAAAAAATGGCATTTTTTCTATTCATGAAACTAATGTCATGTAAGCGGTTTGCATCTATGCTACTGGATTCAAGTTTGATTATCGAATCTGAGTGTGTTTGTATTTATTGGTTCAGGTCTCAATATATATGTTCAGTTTTTTTTTCTAGGGACTGACAATGTCCAACACCTAACCTGAAATGTCCAACACCTTCATTAAACCATCTAATCCGTCTCAGTAAAACACTCATAGGTAAAGTCGCTGACCCCCATAGCTGCTGGCTCTGCAGCTTTCTCTTTATCTTCTTCTTCCTTCTCTTATAAATCCTCACATTTCCCTAATATCAAAAGCTTCTATTTCCTCTCTTCACCACTCAATCGCCGAGGCCTTGCAAGAAACTTCATCACTCTACCGCTGCTATTAACATGGATTGTTCCCCCATCTCATCACAACTCATCTCAGATTTACCATCTAATTACCAATTTCGAGCGCTGCCCGTTTATTTTCACGTCAAATCTGTTTTCTTTAAATATTTTTTAGCACTCTCCCGCACTTTCTTGGAAGGTAATATTTCTATTTTGATTAAAATTTATTGATTTTAATTATATTAAAAATAATTAATGATTTTTTTATTGATATATAATAATATACAGAAGAAAACATAAAATAAAAAAAATGGGTTGATGTATAATAATATTAAAGAGTTAAGATTGGAGATCGACATTAGAAGTAAAAATAAGATATATATAATTTGATGAATTAATGAATTTTAAAGTAACTTCTTTTTATTATTTTAGTTGAGTTGAATTAAATTTTTTATATATATATATATATATATATATATATGTGTGTGTGTGTTTATTATTCATAAATAATTTATATATTTTTAATGATTTTATAGTTTATTTGGAGGTTGTACGTAGAAGAAAAAATTACTGCAAGATGTTTGGAGGTGGTCCATTTTACTTTTGTTAAGTTCTAGTTTTTTAATAGAGTTAATGTAATTTGACTTCCACCAATCTTTTCAGTAGATTCTATACCTCTGCAAATTAGATGGACGAGGTAAACACAACAAGAATTGGGTTGAGAAGCATGCAGATTACATTAATATTTGAATAAATCTTACTCCCATTCAAGATGATGTCTTTGATTTTTATACTTTGGTTTACTTTAACTATTATGGTAACACCCTAAATTCTGAACTAGTAGTTTCAGGTTTATCTGAGAGGCTTATGGACCCCGTAGATTTCATAATTTAAGTCATTAGGTTTAGTTGGGTTGGAATTGGCCCAATTAGCCATAAAAAAGAGATTTTTTGAATAGTAAGAATATGAGGAAAGATTAAATGTGTAATCTCACCTTTTTAAAAAGATAAAAGCTTTTTTTTTCCTTTTCATCTCATTATTCTCTTCATTTCTTCCTTCTTTCTCATTTTCATTCTCTCATTGTCCTTTTCAAGTTCTATAATACAAAGGTAAGTTATTGAGCCTCTTTCATACTTCAATTTCATTCATAATCCCACCATCAACTTCGTTTGCCAAATCTCTCGGAGAACGGAGATGTCATTTCGGTGCAGGCAAACAGAAGCGTAAGCAGGCATAATCGGGACATAATTAGCAAGTAGACTATTTCCCTCCTAACATTGCAAATCCTCTGACCATTGACGTACTTCAGAGTTATGGGTCATCTGACTTGTTTTCTATATTTCCAAATACACTCTTTAATCACCAATTTTCAGCTTAACCCAAGGACCATAAAATTAGCAAACCAGACTCAGATCCGACCCAGGACCCGACCCAGTCCAGACCAACTGCCTGCCATGCCCACATGAAGCTGCCAACGGCACCATGCCCCTACGCCATGCACCCCACCATACTTCTACACCACCGACTACTGTTGTCACGTACGACAACTGCTATGGCAGCCCATCCCCTACAACACATCAAAACCAAATTCAAAGCAATGTCAGAATTTTTTTTTGTTAATACCTACTGTAATGGGTTATAAAACCCGATTGAAATGTAACACAAAGGGCATTATTATCAGCAATAAAAACAATTGAGGGCAAAAAAATTTCTGCTTATTTCCTTTCATTCGAAATATATATATATATTTACAATAATAAAAAAAAAGGAAAATGGAGAAGCTTACTATTCGGCCGGAGCCCATCGCCTACATTCAGTGGGTCATCTCGCAAATCTGAACGGTGAAGATGCTAAGGAGATGATGGAGAACGACATATCTGAAAATCAACCCGATCCAACGGCGAACAGTGGTGAACGAAGATCGGGAAAGCAGAACAATTTTTGGCTATTTCGTGATAGACGACGCATATCCTCGCAAAACGGAGACCAGATCGGAGACGAGGTGTAGTGGTTGTTTAATTTTTTTATAAATGCTTAAGGACTACTTTTGTAATTTTCCTTTTTATTTCAAATACCTTATTTTAGGTTAGAAAAATTGGAATATTTATGAAATAGCCCCTATATTTTTGCATGTTTTTATTTCGAACCTAAATGTGTTTATTTATTTATTTAATTCGAATATGTAGTTTTAATTTAGCCCCATGTTTTATTTATTTCTCATTTCTTGTAATTTTAGCATAGTATATTGAAAATGTTTATTTTAGTCACTTGTATTTTATTTTTGTTTCAATTTTATCATGATGGTTTGATTGTTTGTGCTTTAATCCTATTTTTATTTTATTTTAATTTTTGCATGTTATTTTCATATTGGTTCATTTTAGTCATAATTAATTTCGCCTGAAAGCCTCATAAGCATAACTCAACCGACTACAAAATTGGATTAAGGATAGTATTTATTTATTTTAAAATATGAAGAAAGGATTGTCTTAAAGTAACTAAATATATTTTCCGATGTTTTAAAATAAATAAATACCCCACTATAAAACCTAAACAATTTGATTGCATTTAAAATTAATTACGTTTGAAGGGAAAAAGAAATATTCACTTATTTAAACTTATTGAGACAATTCACCTAATTTTATTATGGATTAAGTCTAGATATTTTTAAATAATTGAATATCTCTTATCTTTTCTAATTATATAATTTGGATAAATTGGATGAATTTCTTTTTTAGGTCGAATAAAATTATTTTAATTCTTAGGAAAAATTATTTTATTCATTTTATTTTAGTTGGAAAGAGAAATATTTGTCTTAAAGCATTTTAGAGATTATTTTCTCTTCGATTGGAAATATTAGAATATTTTCTATTTCTCCTTAAAAATTTTCGTTCAATAAAAATTGCATGGTTGAATTTGGAATAATGGGATCGAAATTTAAATTTATATTTGAATTCTTAGATTTCCACTATTAGAGACAATTTATAATCGATGGGGTACCAATTTTGGGCGTTGTGGGGTTGTTTATCCTTCCACACACGTAATCGATCTCCGAACTCCTTTTTTATTTCAAAAAAAATGAATCATGGTTACACGCAGAATGATTTATCTTTTAAAATGATGTTTTCTTAAAAATTCTTTTAAAAGAAAATATTTAGGTATTCGACCTACCTAACTCAAAAGGTCGATGGCGAGTCCAAAACATTTCAAAACCTTTTCAAAAGAAAACCTCCAAGTCGTACTAAGTTTTCCTCCGTCCAAACGAAAAACGGTGCCGACACACTCAGTCTTTCAAACCAGGCCCTAGGATCCCTTTGAGTCCATAAATTGTCTTATGTAACTTGCAAACTAAGTTGCCATCACCATGCTCATAGCCTGATGGTTGCATCATGTACACTTCTTTAGTATGCAACCCATTAAAAAACGCGTTATTAACATCAACTTGCTTCAACGTCCAACCTCGTGTTAGGGCCAAAGAAAGAATCACCCTGACAGTAGCTGGTTTAACAATAGGACTGAAAACTTCATGAAAATCAATATCAGGTTGTTGAAGAAACCTCTCGCTACGAGACGAGCCTTGTATCTTGCTACTGAGCCATCGACATTCCTTTTGATCTTGAACCATTTGCAACTCACAGCTCTTCTATTTTCAGGAAGTGAAATAAGTGTCCAAGTACTATTTTTTACCAAACCTTTATATTCAGTTTGTGCTACAGCCTTTCAATGAGGACTCAAAGTCTTCTTTAATATTCCTCGGCTTATGATCAAAAGCAAGCAACCTGATAAACTTTTGGTTTCTTAATGGCATAATGCAAACAAATACCCCTAACGTTTGACACTATATGCATTTGTGCCCAAATCATTTTTTTTGAAGCAGTTCTACCCACAACGTTTGTTATGAGGCATAAGTCCCCCCGTTAGAGATGGAATCCGTCAGTCAACTGAAGGTCAACGGGTCCATCTGACGTGGCATGCACATATGGTCACCGACGATGACATGCTATTTCCATGTCACTATTTTATGCTGATGTGGAATTGACACAAATGATGACATGGCATGTCCACGTCACTAATATGTGCTAACGTGGAATTTACACGTTAGTTTTTTTTAATTTCAATTAAAATTTTGTACCAATAAGAGAGCGACACATGTCACTCTCCTATTGGTGCGTATTGGAAAGAATGAATAAAATATTGTTACTTACGTGGAAGGGGAATCAAACCTGGGGCAAAGGCATGAAATGAGATAGCCCTTGCCACCAAGCCAAGCATGCTACTTGGTTAAGTAATGAAACAAAATCTTATTTAACCCATCATCCGACTATAAAACAGAAATGGACGTGGAATACTATACACCTCTGCCTTATCTGTTTATAATACAATTACTAATGTTTAGAATTTATTAATTTTGGATACAATCTGTAAACTCATACACCAATATTCTGCTGACCATTCTCGATCAGTTCTTCGGTCTTCACCCGACGCAAGTATTGTTTGGTATCGAGTTTTAGACTACAGAAAAGATTG